CCCGCCGATGGGGGAGGGGCAATTCAAAGGGGCCCAGAGCTCCCGGCCTCCTCCCCTTTGAATTGTCACCAGAGCAGCGTGCCAAGTGCTGCAGGTGGCTCTGAGGGCCTGGGGGTCGCGCCATGGTGTGGGCTGACTGCCCTTGGCCCCACTTGTGTCCGAGGCTGTGCCCCTCCCCACACACCTCTTGGCCTGGGGCCCATGGAGGTGGTCAGGCACCCCCATCCGAGATCTCTCGCAGCCACCATCGCATGCCAGTTGCATCGTGGGTGGGCGCCTGTCGGGGGTGGGATAATTATCTTTCCCACCCAGCAGAGCTCCTGTCTCCTGCCCTCCTGAGTCTTCTCGGGCTGGCAGACGGGTGGCTGCGCACAAATCCCTCTGTAAGGACACTGGACAGCGTCCCAGGGCGGCGAACATCCTCCCGGCGCAGGGACATGGCACCATGCGGGGCCAGAGAGGGAACCTCTGCCCTGGCTGCTCTACATTAACCCTTTGATTGGCAAAGGGCAGGGGTGGCGCCATCAGGTGGTAAGAAGAGGGAGTGGGCGTGAGCCAAACTCAGAGGGCCCAGGCGCTGTGCGAGGCCGCAGGGCTGCAGGGAACACAGCTGAGACCCGCCCACGCAGAGCGAATGCCTCTTACCTGGAAGCTGCTGTGGAGTCTGGGGCTCTGGCTGTTACACCGGCTCAGAGACTCGTCCTGGCTGCTGTGGGAGTTATCTTCATACAGGATGCTCTGCCCTGGGGTCAGCACTTTGAGCAGCTTGTCTGCCCTGTCCGACGCCCGGGACTTGTAGACCACTGCGTCCACCAGCCCTGCCTCGGTCACGGCCATGCCCATGCTGTAGGTTCGCGTGGTGCTGTGGTAGAGGGCCACGGCATCGCCCCCGTTCTGGATGGTGTTCGGAGGCAGAACAATCATGGGCCGTGGGGTCACCTCCGCGCCCCCCACCAGGAAGTAGCCCCGCGCGTCCGTATGGTAGCCCGTCAAGTTCTCATAAAGTCCCAGCCAATAACCCTGGAGGTCAAAGCGTGTTCGGCCGGTGGAGAGCAGCTCGATGTACTCCCTGTCCTCCCGGCTGCCCGGATTGTCCGGATTCACCTCGCTGATGAGCAGCGGGGCTGGGCGCGAAGGTGGCTCACTGGTCCCTTCCGACGAGGCACCTTTAAGAGGGGAGAAATAGCACCAGTCCGGCTTGCCTGGGGTGTCCCTGGCTGCAACCAGACGAGGTAAGGTACCAGGGCCTGCTGGCGCTGCACCTGGGCTGGGCATGGGTCCGTGGTGTCTCTACTTCACTTGAGGACACAGGCCATGTTCAGAGAGGAGTCTCTGGCCAGGGGGATTGGGGACGAGCTGCGGGTTAAACGTTCACATCGCTAGGGAGAGTCCAGGCTGCCTTGGTGAACGTGCTGGGTAAGAGCTCGGCCTCACCCCACCTGCACACTCCTCCTCTCCGATCCAGTCGGACTCCCCTGCACTGGGTGCTGGACAAGCAAGGGACAGAGCACAGGCCCTGCCTTGCAGCAGCCGAGATTCCCCCTCGCCGCCCTGTGAGCCCCAGGCAGGTGTAACAAGCACCCTGGCCCTGAGGAACATCGCTAAATGTTTGGCACCAGGGACCCCCACAGCGACGCCCTCACGCGTGAGCACGTGGGCGTGACGAGTCCAGGGCACACCTGGCCTCTGAGCGACACGCCTGCATTCTGCTCCAGCACACCCAAAAGAGACCTCCGACTTCCCTGCCCCCTCAGCCCCGGCGACCAGCGGCGCCAGGGCTTGCCAGCTAAGCCGAGGACATAGCACGGAGAGAATCCTTCTGGAGGAGCCAGAGAGAGCCCGCTCCAGCAGCCCAGTCTCTCCACTCAGCAAGATGCGGGTACCTGGAGGAGACGCCCGCTCCCCTCCGGGGTGTCGATTCCCTCCGCCCGCTCCCCTCCGGGGTGTCGATTCCCTCCGCCCGCTCCCCTCCGGGGCGTCGATTCCCTCCGCCCCCTCCCCTCCGGGGCGTCGATTCCCTCCGCCCGCTCCCCTCCGGGGCGTCGATTCCCTCCGCCCGCTCCCCTCCGGGGCGTCGATTCCCTCCGCCCCCTCCCCTCCGGGGCGTCGATTCCCTCCGCCCGCTCCCCTCCGGGGCGTCGATTCCCTCCGCCCGCTCCCCTCCGGGGCGTCGATTCCCTCCGCCCCCTCCCCTCCGGGGCGTCGATTCCCTCCGCCCGCTCCCCTCCGGGGCGTCGACTCCCTCTGCCCGCTCCCCTCCGGGGCGTCGACTCCCTCTGCCCGCTCCCCTCCGGGGCGTCGACTCCCTCTGCCCGCTCCCCTCCGGGGTGTCGATTCCCTCCGCCCGCTCCCCTCCGGGGTGTCGATTCCCTCCGCCCGCTCCCCTCCGGGGCGTCGATTCCCTCCGCCCGCTCCCTTCCGGCGCGTCGACTCCCTCTGCCCTCTCCCTTCCGGCGCGTCGACTCCCTCCGCCCCCTCCCCTCCGGCGCGTCGACTCCCTCCGCCCGCTCCCCTCCCCTCCGGCGCATCGACTCCCTCCGCCCGCTCCCCTCCGGCGCGTCGACTCCCTCCGCCCGCTGCCTTCCGGCGCGTCGACTCCCTCCGCCCGCTGCCTTCCGGCGCGTCGACTCCCTCCGCCCGCTGCCTTCCGGCGCGTCGACTCCCTCCGCCCGCTGCCTTCCGGCGCGTCGACTCCCTCCGCCCGCTGCCTTCCGGCGCGTCGACTCCCTCCGCCCGCTGCCTTCCGGCGCGTCGACTCCCTCCGCCCGCTGCCTTCCGGCGCGTCGACTCCCTCCGCCCGCTGCCTTCCGGCGCGTCGACTCCCTCCGCCCGCTGCCTTCCGGCGCGTCGACTCCCTCCGCCCGCTGCCTTCCGGCGCGTCGACTCCCTCCGCCCGCTGCCTTCCGGCGCGTCGACTCCCTCCGCCCGCTGCCTTCCGGCGCGTCGACTCCCTCCGCCCGCTGCCTTCCGGCGCGTCGACTCCCTCCGCCCGCTGCCTTCCGGCGCGTCGACTCCCTCCGCCCGCTGCCTTCCGGCGCGTCGACTCCCTCCGCCCGCTGCCTTCCGGCGCGTCGACTCCCTCCGCCCGCTGCCTTCCGGCGCGTCGACTCCCTCCGCCCGCTGCCTTCCGGCGCGTCGACTCCCTCCGCCCGCTGCCTTCCGGCGCGTCGACTCCCTCCGCCCGCTGCCTTCCGGCGCGTCGACTCCCTCCGCCCGCTGCCTTCCGGCGCGTCGACTCCCTCCGCCCGCTGCCTTCCGGCGCGTCGACTCCCTCCGCCCGCTGCCTTCCGGCGCGTCGACTCCCTCCGCCCGCTGCCTTCCGGCGCGTCGACTCCCTCCGCCCGCTGCCTTCCGGCGCGTCGACTCCCTCCGCCCGCTGCCTTCCGGCGCGTCGACTCCCTCCGCCCGCTGCCTTCCGGCGCGTCGACTCCCTCCGCCCGCTGCCTTCCGGCGCGTCGACTCCCTCCGCCCGCTGCCTTCCGGCGCGTCGACTCCCTCCGCCCGCTGCCTTCCGGCGCGTCGACTCCCTCCGCCCGCTGCCTTCCGGCGCGTCGACTCCCTCCGCCCGCTGCCTTCCGGCGCGTCGACTCCCTCCGCCCGCTGCCTTCCGGCGCGTCGACTCCCTCCGCCCGCTGCCTTCCGGCGCGTCGACTCCCTCCGCCCGCTGCCTTCCGGCGCGTCGACTCCCTCCGCCCGCTGCCTTCCGGCGCGTCGACTCCCTCCGCCCGCTGCCTTCCGGCGCGTCGACTCCCTCCGCCCGCTGCCTTCCGGCGCGTCGACTCCCTCCGCCCGCTGCCTTCCGGCGCGTCGACTCCCTCCGCCCGCTGCCTTCCGGCGCGTCGACTCCCTCCGCCCGCTGCCTTCCGGCGCGTCGACTCCCTCCGCCCGCTGCCTTCCGGCGCGTCGACTCCCTCCGCCCGCTGCCTTCCGGCGCGTCGACTCCCTCCGCCCGCTGCCTTCCGGCGCGTCGACTCCCTCCGCCCGCTGCCTTCCGGCGCGTCGACTCCCTCCGCCCGCTGCCTTCCGGCGCGTCGACTCCCTCCGCCCGCTGCCTTCCGGCGCGTCGCCTCCCTCCGCCCGCTCCCCTCCGGGGTGTCGATTCCCTCTGCCCGCTCCCCTCCGGGGCTAGCTTCCAGCCGCAGAATTTGGCAAGAGAATCTGAAGGGAGCAAGCACCAAACAGGCTTCACAGACCTTCCGCCTGCCTGGAGCAGCGCTCTGTGCTGCAGCTCATGGGGCACCCAGACTAGCTGCTTCCTTTCACACCACGCCTGTCCTTGCACTTCAGCCCCTGCCAGCTGCCCAGAGGTGAGCAAACTTGCCCTGGTCCAGGCTGTTGACAGACTTGTGGTCAGGTTCTGTGCGCCACGTGCTGCCTGGAGGGTCACTACACAGGGACTGCTGCTGCCACACAGCTGAACTTGGGAAGAGCCATAACCTGGTCCCCAGTGCACGTCAAGGAGGAAGCCTGAGAAAGAAAATCTAGCCTCTGTCAATTACCGTCCTGTTTACAGGACCGAGGTCACCTCCCTCCTGCAGCAGCTGTGTGGCGGGGGTGGGGACCCATGCACTGGGACTTTCTCTCAAAGCTACCTGAGGCCCCGGGTCTAGCCAGGTGACATGAGGAACCCCCACCGCACAGGTCTGGGGGACAGGAAAGGCTCAGGGATGGCCTAGCAGGGACAGCAGTAGGTCAGGACTAAAATGCATTGGCAGAGCTATCTATGGGACTATGTGGCCCCAGCCATCGCTTCAGCAGCAAATTCCCCCATGCCCACCAGTGAAGCCAGGTGCCACCCCTGGCCAGTCAGGGTCCAAGACCCCACACTCACCTTTCAAGTACACAACAGACGCGCCACAGCGACACAGCTCGTCAAGGGCCTGGGCTAGAGCCGTCTGTATCTCCCGGGCTCCCGGGAGCTGCCGGTGGCAATCTGAGAAACAGAGATTGGGTGAGAGCCGAAGGCGTGAAGAGCCACACGTTCAAGGTTCTCACCAGCTGGCGCGTCCCAGCTGCCGGTGCATGTGTACCCGCTGCAGCCCTGCCCTCAGTCAGAGCCCCAGAGGGCCAGCGCGCCGCCTTGCATGGAGCACAGCCACACGGAGGCTCAGCCTGGAATCCGTTTGCCGAGGGGAGCGGGAGCGAGAAGCCCCTTTGGGGGATGAGGTCATGAAGAACAGACGCCAGCAGCAGCCATCTCCAGGTGAACTGCACCCGGTGTGAACGGCTGAACCCAGCCAGTGCGATCGCCCAGCTTCCAGACCCTGCTGCTTTCCTGCAGATCTCTGCCTGGAGAGACAGGCCTGGGGTCATCGCCCCCATCACGTGCCTCAAGGGCTGCCGGTCTGGGGCACGCATCAGGAAACCTCATTTCTAGCCCCAGCCTGGCAGTACCTCCGGGCACTAGCTTAAGCTAGGCGCTTCCCCACCCAAACCTTCTGTGAGCCCCATGGCAGGACTCCCTGCCTGTCCTGGAGGGGCTGCTTTTCAAAGAACCGGGGGATGGTGCCTGGCTGCTGCTGGGCAGGGTGTCCGCCTAGGCTGGTATCCTAACGGTCCTTCCTGGCCTTGAAATCCTGAGACTTGCTGGACCTCAGTTTCTGCACCTGTGAAGTGGGGATAATGCTGCCTCCTCCCAGCCCAAGGGGTTTACCTTTGCAAAGGGCTTTGCAAGCTACACACAGACACAGGACGAGCTATTAGCCGCTGCAAGAGCGGACGCCTGCTCTGCCTCAGACCTTACGGGGGTGTCAGCTTCGGTCCTCTGGGAGGACACAGCGGGGCTCTGCCTTGCCAGCAGGGACGTGGCAGTGTGGGCATGAACTCCACCCTTGTGCAGACCGGGCTTACGCACCCGTGACGCCCAGGGGGCTCGGGGCATGTCAGTGCCAGCGCTCCACACGGGGCGAGTGTCACCTTTGAGGCCAAATGTGGGACTCCACCATACTTCTTTTAACACCCCGGTTGGGGGGGCGATGCCCCTCCCGCTCTCCCTGGGCTCCGAGCTGGGACAACGGGGAGAAGAAGAGCGGGGCGTGTGGTGATCACGATGCTGCAGGACGAGGCTGAATGCCTCGTGCTAAGCCCAGTGCTGGCGTCACAGGCGCCCTGGTAGCATGAGCCCCCCCAGGATGCAGGGGAGGAGCTGAAGTCTTGGGGGCTCTGGCAGGCTAGAAAGGAGACTGGTAGGGCTCTCCCTGGGGGAGCTAGGACCCACCTGCTACCCGGAGGCAGAGGGAGACGGCCTGGCTGAAGCGGCTGCTGGGACAGTCATTGAGCTGTCTGGGGGTGGGGCTGCCGAGGGTGAAGATGGAGGAGTCCCGGGTCACAGAGCAGCAGCTGCACCGGCTCACGGACACGTTGCCCGGCTGGTGGCTGCAGGGACAGAGACACAAATGAGAAGGAAGAACATGGGACCTGCAGCCCGGCTGCTGGCGCTTGGCTCTCTGGTACGGAGCCGCCCTGGGGGCGGGCGCTGCTGCCGCCCACACCTGCTCTAGGGGCCAGGGGAGGC